ATTGGTTTCCCTTTTCTTTGTTGAAGAGGGTCTGTGCAATCCTTCTGCCTAGTCTGCCATCTTGCCCCGCCCCTCCCATTTTTGTTTTCTTGACTGCTTCTTCCATGGATTATGGATCCAAGCAAAGTGAAATCCCTGACAGCTCATTCTTTTCTCTGTAAATCATGGTGCAATTTATTGGTCCAGTTGTAAAGATGTTTGTTTTCTTTATTTTGAGGTGTAACCTGTACTGAAGGCTGTAGTCTTTGATCTTCTTCAGGGAGTGCTTCAAGTCCTCTTCACTTTCAGTAAGCAAGGGTGTATTATCTGAATATTGCAGGTTAATGAGTCTTCCTCTAATCCTGATGCCACGTTCTTTATATAATCCAGCTTTTTGGATTAGTTGCTCAGCAAACAGATTGAAAGATTATGGTGAAAGGATACAACCCTGACAAACATCCTTCCCAGTCCCAAACCATGCAGTATCATGTTGTTCTGTTCGAACAACTGCTTCTTGGTCTATGTACAAACACTGTAGTCATAGTTTTTCCGTAAAAGGTGGCTAAGAGCTAAGGAGTCAGTCAGTCCTTAAAAACAAGAAACTGCTTCATCAGAAAAAATTCTAGAAAACGTAATGAAAAGGCAACTTAGCTCATAGTGTTAAAATTGGTTATGTGCCTGTCAGTGTCTAAACTCCCACCCCAACCACAGACATGTTGACCAGTTGCCATAGAGTCAGTTCTGACGCCTAAGGGCCTTATAGGACAGAGTAGAACTGGCCATAGAGTTTCAAAGGCAAAGTCTTTATGGATGCTTACTGCCACATCTTTTTCTCACAGAACAGCTAATGAGTTCAAACCACCAACTTTGTTTAGCAGCCTAATACATAACCACTGTACCACCAGGGCTCCTTCACAGATATATTGTATCAACTAAAATAGGTCATATACCCTTGTGTGACTCTGAATTTGTTGCTCAAGTCAAGTCTTATAAACCATTGAAGGGTTATCTGGCTTGCTATTCATTGTCTTGGCCTTCACCAAGAAGTTTATTGAATATTGCATGTCTTTATTCCATCAAACAAAAAAAAAACAAACGCACTGCTGTGGAGTCGGATCTGACTCATAGCAACCCCTCCTTGGGTTTCCGAGGCAGTATCACTACGGAAGTTGATTACCCAACCTGCCACCCTTCTGTTTAGCAGTCAGAGTTAGGCATTACGCCACCAGAACTCCTCTTTATGCCATAGACGTAGATAAAATAATAAAATGTTAAGTTTGCTCAGAAGAGCCCCATGGAGTAATCAATATATACTAAGGGCTTATTAGTGCATTTTCTTTCCCAGAAAGACAATACAATATTGAAATACATGTTTCAAGTTCCTTAATCTTAAAAAAAAAAAACCTCTTGAAACTTAAAGGATAATATATATACATGGTGTTTTAGATGGCTTTTTATCATTATAGTGATCCTTAATTTTGGAACTTTCAGTATTAAAAGTTCACTTCTTAAGAGTTTTAGGTCTATGGTTGAGTTATGTGTATAGAAATTTTTAAAAAGATAGAGTACTTAAAGATATTCTGTATGGTGACATAAGTATATATACATAAATACAGTTTTTTTCTCACTTTCTCTTTCAGGTCTCAGCCAGTTTCTTCTCCAGTCGTCCTGCAGTTTGGTCATGCAGAGACCCTTCTTCCGCTGCTTTCACTCATGGGCTACTTCAAAGACAAGGAGCCCCTAACAGCTTCCAATTACAAAGAACAAATGCATCGGAAGTTCCGAAGTGGTCACATTGTACCCTATGCCTCGAACCTGATATTTCTGCTTTATCATTGTGAAAATGCCAAGACTCCTAAGGAAGAATTCCAAGTGCAGATGTTGTTGAATGAAAAGGTGTTACCCTTTGCTCACTCACAAGAAACTGTTTCCTTGTATGAGGATCTGAAGAACCATTACAAGGACATCCTTCAGAGTTGTCATGCCAGTGATGAATGTGAATTACCAAAGGTGAACAACACATCTGATGAGCTATGATTAACTAGAGAACATTTTTCATTCATCAGGAATCTGTCTGTAGGGAGTGAATACATGCTTGGACTAGCTGGGCAATACCGTGGTTACAGAAAGCTTTCACATCACTTGGGTATTTCTGTCTTTTCACAGAAGAAGGTTGAATTTCTCTTTGGGTCCGGACAAGGAGTGCAATGCAGAGGGAAAAAACTGATTTGAAGAAACAGGTGGCACTGCAAATGTTGACAGAAATGAAATTCTTCCTATTTCTATAAGAAATCTCACTGAGATGGAGTATGATTTCAAAACAGTACTTGAAAACTGTTGGCGTAACAAAATATAATGTCAGGTGGATTGTCCAAACTTGATTGAACTAAATCTAGGACCTTTACCAGTTGTGCTACAGTTCTCTTTTTTTTCCCCTCAGGTAGGACAGTTATAGATTAATTGTCTTTCTTAATCAGAAATATTGTGATAAACTGGGATTATCACTTTGGAAAAAGCTTACATCTCTCTAGTTGAGAGTTTGAAACAATATGACGAAGTATCTAGAATCTGCTTTAAAATGCTACCTTCACTGAAGCAAGACAAAATTATTTATATTAGTATTTGTATACTTTTAAAGTAATTCCTTTTAAACTCCTCCTAAGGTTTCTAAGACTGCTATTAAATTATTATATCTATTTTATATATGTAACAGTGGAAGGACAAAGAGGACCACTGGTCGCAAGTCGGAGGGATAGAATGAAAAGTTTTTTAAACCCATTAATTGGCATGTTTTTTCTGTCATTTGGCTTCTATTTTTATATTTTGCTATTATAAGAAATAGTATCATTTGGTTGTTGGATTTCTTTCTTTTTTTTAAATAAAGACTTTATCCTGGCTGGCTTAACTTAACAGATTTGAATCTGTTTCAAAAAATAGTTAGAAGTTATGTCAGATGCCGTGGAAGTATTTATTATATTTACAATGATAATAAATAAATTTTTTGTGACTTTGCTACCAGGTCTTGTATGCTCTCCATGTTGATATACAAGCAATAATGAATTGTAAAAACTTGGAATTTCAAGGAGCTTTGAGTCAATCAGGCAATATAAGGTAATTTTCTTCCAAAAGAACTCTCCTGAGATAAATCAATGAATTGTTCATGTATTTTCATTCACATTCACTTTAAAGATGAAGTAGTTCAAAGGGATATCTAGGATTTTTGTTGAAAATACGTGGTTACTCATATAGAGCAATTTGTAATAAAATCTGAACTGTGTTAACTTTTCATTTGTTTATTTTTGAGAACAACAGACCATAGGAAAATACACACATACTCAGGATTGTCAATTATGACTTGAACTAGGACACTTTCAGCCCAGTTGTAGGTTTTTTTTTTTTTTAAAGGGCCTTGGAATAAATGTGTGGCAACCTACTTCCAAAAAATTAGTCATGGAAAATGCTGTGGAACAGTTCTAATCTGACATACATTGGATCTCCATGAGCCACAGTCAACTGACAGCAGCTGTTTTTTTGTTTTTTTTTATGGTGTGCTCCTCAGACATGGGCTTATGGCCAGCTTTGGTTACAGAATGCTGAGAAGAGTTTTGAGGAGTCAGGTCTTTTTGTCTGTGAATAAATTAGATTATTTATGTCCTTTCTGTAAGTGCTAAGTTCTAGGAAGAGATGCTTAGGGAAGAGATGCCAGTCTTAGTTTTTGAAGGTAGAAAAATATCAGCTTAAGTTTTTTTATTTTTAGAAAAAGGGGGGGGCATCTTTTTAGCACAAACAGTCAAAGCAAAATGTTTTCTAGTTAATGCTTCAGTTTTTTTTTTTTTTTTCCAAATTGTGATTTGGGTGAAAGTTTACATAGCAAATTCACTTTGCATACAGCAGTTCACATACACTTTGTCTCATGACATTGACTATAATTTACCATAATGTAACAGCTCCCCTCCCACTTCTTCCCATAGTTACCTCTTCCCTGTGTCCTTCCCTCCATGCATTCCTGCCCCCTGAGCTATGTCCCTGTGCATACACAGCCCTTCTATTCCGTGATTGTCTCTCCAAGGAGTATATCTACCTAGTGTAAATGTTCAGCTCATATGCCTGTCTTTTGTTTGGCTAGAAGCCACAGGTGTGGATTCAATTTCAGACTTGAAGGGCACCTAGGGGCCATAGTTTCAGTTCCATCAGCATCTTTCCACCAGCAAACCTGGTCCCTTTTTTTTTTTTCATAGTAATTAAGTTTTTTATTAAAAGTGCTTTTACCATGCACTAGGGGATAAGATAAAAATTTAAAAATACATTCTCTATTAGTAAGAAAATCTTTTTGCTTCTACTTTTACAAAATATGACTGGGGCACCTTTAAAATTAACTGTTGGGTTACATTACCTTGTCACTACCTTTTGAATAGATTTTCTAAGGTTGGAAAAAAAATAGCACTGATGAATACATAAAAGAGACAAGCCAACATTTGGGGGCTGTAAATTAAGTATATGTGCTATGAGAAGGTAAATGATTTCAGTATGGACTTTTCAGAAACTGAATGTTCCAAATGGTGAATATTAAAAAATGTACATGATGTCAATTAAGTCAGATAGTCTCAGAACACAAATTCCAGGTAAAAAAAATATTATAGATACTACACAGAAGTGATCCTGTGGTCAAATGACCTTGGGAAACTTGGGGTTATCTTTGCTATGGAATCTTCAGGCCTTGAACATGCTGATATGCCTTGTGACTCTCACAGGGGGCATTTTCCTGTCTTCTCTGACCTGAGAATTCTTTTCCAAGAAGAAGCTCCTATGACTATTATAAACCAGAATATATTTTGAGAAATGTTGGACTAAAACACATGCCGTTTAGGGTTCGCTTTTCAAATTTAGAGGATATTGAGTCATGGAGTTAAATACAAGTGGGGGAAAAAATTGTACTTAGTTGTAAATTAGATCAAATAAATAGACTCATTACAATTTTCCTAGAATACTGCTTTTTAACTTAGTTTTCACCTTTTAAAAAAATGGAAATTCATTTTGCTAAAGAAAATCACACATAGATGTATATTGAAATTATAAGAGAAAATGCAAAGCACAGATCATTGATCTTCAAATGAATGACCGACATAAGATTAAACCAAAACCAAACTCACTGCTGTCGAGTCGATTCGACTCATAGCGACCCCTCGAGTTTCCGAGGCAGTATCTCTAAGGAAGTAGATTGCCCATAAGATTATTAGCTAGTAAATGCTGTTGAATCATCAGCACGTAGCAGATTGATTGGTCCTGCAATATTCTAATGTTCTCAAAAATCGTGTGCTGTTTCTTTTCCTTTTTTTAATTTACAAAGATGCAGAGAGGAGAATAATATAATTAGCCCCCATATCCATTATTCTGTTGTATCAAAATTAACATTATAACATTTGTTTTAGATCCAAATAAGAAAAATTCAAGATTTTTGTGTACCTCCTTGATCCTATATCCACCACTTGTTGCCCAAAGAGTTACCAACATAAAATTCAGTATTCACATTCCAGTGTGTGCTTGAATCTGGAAACATACAATGAAACCCATGAGAGGCGGAACTGAATGAGACTGCCTTGCTTTTCCGAGTCTCATAAGTTTTCCGCCTTTCAAAGAGTGCAGTCTTGCCACTTCTGTCACGATTAGTGGAAAATATTTCAGCTTTCCTTCTCTGACAAGATTCCTCCCTTTTTCAAGTTCCAGCTTTTGCAGTTTAGTACAGCATTGTGTGAGTTTTAAAATTTTCTATGGAAGGGTTTGTACTGTGCGTATCATTCTTTGATGAGTGATTGATTTTAGGTACTGTATTTGTTTTTCAAAACTGTTCTTGATCCTGATTACTTGCAGATTAATACCTTCAAGCCATCAGACCTGTTGAGTACTTTTAGGGGCAAACATTAGATTTACCCGATGAGCATGTGACGATGAATGAACCTCTTTTATTCAAGGGGGGCTATCTTAAAATTGACTTTGATCATCTACAATTAAAGTTGGTGTCTAATATATTAACTGAACAGTGTTTGATTCTTTGAGTACTTTGTAAACTATAAAAGACTATGAAAGTTTTATAGGTATTGTTTAATTGCAGTGTTAAATAAGACCATATAGTCATCTTTGTTTTCATTGGTATGCAGAATATTTCAAGATGGAGAGTAAGTGTGGTCCATTTATTGCTAGTGTTATGAAGGTTGTGAGGTTATTCTGGTGTGGTTATGATAATACTCTGATGCTATTATTCTCTTTTAGAAAATGCCTGGAACTAAGAATTTTATGATAAACTGTTTTATCTAGGATACCAAAACCAAACCCACTGCCATCGAGTCAGTTCTGACTCCCAGCAACCCCCACTGGATTTCCCAGGTGGTAAATCTTTACAGAAGTAGATTGCCCAGTCTTGCTTCCATGGAGTGGCTGGTGGGTTGGAACCACCAACCTTCTGGTTAGCAGTCAGATGCCTTAGGCATTGTGCTACCAGAGGTCCTTCTTATCTAGGATAGTATATATGAAAAATTGAACATCAAAAAATAATCCTTGGCTAACTAAAGTTTATTCATAATAGATGACCAAATTATTCATTTAAGCCAAAATTTAATCATTGTTGGGCCTGACATTTTGGTTAATAAATAGCATATGGACATTAGCCATTTTTCTGTCTAATCTACAAGTTAATGTGTACGGTGCTTTGTACTTATGTTTTTGTGGTTATATTGTCATGAAGTTTCTGCTCTCACCCCACAGTGATTACTGTTTTTGTATATTAGCTTGATCTTAATTTTAGCACTGAAAGGAAAACTCACTTTATGAAAAAAAAAAAAAAGGTGCTTCATTTTTTTCTAGGCATGCTCAACTTTCATGATATGTTTACTGGAGTGCTTTTCTTTTGTGAACTGTGAAACTAGTGCATGCCCTTAAACATTTGGAACTTAATATAACCAGCCAGAAGATATAAATGTAAATTTTTGGAACACATTTTTCTGAGATGATATTTTCATGTGGTTTATTAATGATCCTTGGAA